GCGGAGACGCCGCTGCGCCGGATCTGCTCGGTCCAGTCCAGTCGGCTGAGGCTGTGCTCCCCCAGGCGCACCCAGTACCTGCTGGGGGTCTCGGGGTTCAGCTGGCGGCCAGCAGGCAGGACACCGACGCCCCCACTGCGGGCCGCACCCCCCTGCTGTCCTGCACCTCAGTGTCTGCGTGCTCTCTCTCTGTCTCTCAGTCTCTGTCTCCATCTTCCTATTTCTGGTGCTAATGCCCTTCCTCCTCCCACACGCGGCCTCTGTGACCCTTTGCCTCTTCCGGTGAGGCCAAGCCGGGCAGAGACGTCGTCGGCCCTGCTCGTCCCGGGGCCACTGCCTGGCATGGAGCAGGCGTTGCCAGCGTCTCTCCACCTCCAAGTCTGAGCTTCAGGGTTCAGCTCCTCTTGCACACAAAAATCCCTGAGCCCAGCCCCTCACTTTCCAAATGGGACCCACGGGGCCCAGAGAGGTGCTAGAGACCGAGACAGTCTCTGAGGTCGCAGAGAATGGGCTCGGACGTGGGCCACGACCCAGACTGGGCCAGGGAACACTGGGGCCGGTGGAGCATGCCATGTAGGAGAGAGGAGAGAGAGCGTGAGAGATGGAGGGGCCAGGTGGGCAGGTTCTGGGACCCCTCCCGGCCCTGCGCCAGCCACACCTTACGTCACCCAGCCCCGCCCAGGGCCCGTGCAGAGGTTTCTGCTCCTAGAGGTTTCTCTAACCCCAGGGGCTCTTCCCTGTCACAGAACCAGCCTGTTCCCCTGGGCACTCCTCCCAGCCCCCCCACGGCCCTCTCCAGGAAGGGACCCAGGTGGAGGGCTTACCTGCAATTGCAGTGAGCTGCCGTGAGGACCCACCGGCGGTCTATGAGGACACCCCCACAGTGCAGGGTGGTCCCCTCAAACAGCGCCACCTGCCACGGCTGCGAGTTAGGGCGACACTCGAAGCCGTCACTCATGGTCAGCATGCTCACCTTGCTAGGGCCTGGGGGACGCCAGGCAGAGAGGGGTCAGAGAGCGAGAGACGGAGAGACACGCGGGTACAGACATGGAGGTGAAGGCGGCTGGACCCCACACGGCCTACTGCATTGGAGAAACCCTGCCGGCGTGCGTGCGTGCCCGAACCCAGGAGGGAGAGACGGACAAGGAACTGCAGTGCGACCGTCCCCCAGGGGTGCTTTCCACCCTCTCCCTGGCGAGGGCATGTGGCCTCTGGCAATGGAAAAGGGAGAGACAGAGAGAGGAAGGAGGGCCAGGCAGTGGCACGGTGGGAGTGCGACCGCTGCACGTGGAAGGTCCCGGCTGGCAAGAGGGCCCTGTCTGAGCACACCCGGCCAGCCTGGGCCGTCTGGGCTGGCCCGACAGGCAGCCCGCGGCCTCAGGGCTCTGCTCTGCTGTGCCTTTGTCATGGAAGAAATAAATACTTTTGAGAAAAGATAGAAAGGAAATAGAAATTGAGAGAGACAGAGGGCAGGTGGGCCCTAACCGCCCCCTGCCCTGGGAGAACTCACCGACAATACACAGGAGCAAAAGCATGCCCCGCTCCATGGTGGGCCGCCTCTGATCTGGAGAGAAGCCGGCATCGGAGACGGCCCTTCTGCCCCCACCTCTGCCCTCTCTTCCTTCCAGGTCCCTTAGGGGTGAGCTGACTGTCCTTCTCTACTGTCCCCTGCGTGTCACCCCTCGCCACCACGTGTCCCACCTTACCTTGTCTCTGCCGCATCCTGTGTGTGGCGTCAGTCTCTGTGCTCGCTCTGCCCACCCTCCTCACTGTCTGTCCGCCTGCCGGGCAGCTCTCCACTGTCACTGGCTCCTCAGTGTCCCCTGTGCTGCCACACCTGTCCTCTTATGCCGTCTGCCCCAGATCCGCGCGGACAAAGCTCTCACCTCCGTCCCAGTCCACCCAAGGAAGACAGTGAGGCATCCTCTAATCCGGAAGAATCTCTTCGCAGCTAATGACACTTAATTGACCACACGTACCTGGGGGGTAGGGGGGGATGGTGGAAACCCTGCCCCACTCCCCTCTCCTCTCCAGAGCAGCCAGCAGCTGAGGCTGATGACTCAAGACATTGGTGAGTCCCGAGTTCTAATCCCAACTCTGATGACAAAGCTGAGGGAGAATGGAGACAACTGAACACCTGGGACCTGCCTCCACTCTGGGCAGGGGTGGGGCAGGAGGAAGGAGAGGCTGTGAAAGGAGGAGAGTGGCAAGGAGGGGACAGGATGACCAAGAGCCCAGAAAGAAAAGAGAGAGGAAGGAGGAAACTTCAAAACAGGAGGTCAGGGAGAGACAGAGGTTTCCCAAATCAGGTTCCGCAGAAGTCGGATCCCTGTTGAGTTTTCTGAATGTCAGTGCCCATTCCCTGAGGGCCCTGTTGGCCTGCTTCACGGGCAGACTATGCAGAGTGTGTGTAGCAGATATTTGCAGCAGGACCAGCAGTTGGTGTAATGGCTATGTCGCTGGACTCCCATGCAGTTGACCGCAGTTCGCGTCCCGGACTGGTGGTTAAGGCACTGATACTCTCACATGGCCGACCATGGTTTGAGTCCTGGACCTCGAGGCTTGATTTCTCACTCCCCCACCCCTCTCTCTTTGTGTCTCTCTTAAATAAATAATTTTTTTAAAAAGAGAGAGATGAAGCTCTCTTTTTTTTCACTTTCAATTTTTTAAAATAATTATTTATTTAATTTTACTTTTTTTTTTTAAATTTACTATAGGGTACATGTGCTCTTCAGAGAGAGAGAGGGAAAGTGAGAAAGCAAGCCCCAGGCCTGGGATTCAAATCTGTCAGCCATGTGGGAGTCCAGCACCTCTACCACCATACCACCTGCTGGCCCTGGAACTCAGGTTTATAGTGGGGTAGGTCCTGATCCAAAAATCCTGGGGAGCCAGCCCTGCAGCCTAGTGCTACAGCTCCTTTAAGGACCTGGATCCAACATGGTTCACGTTTCGGCCTTGGAGGCTTGGAAACATACCAGGCACATGCGCATCGGTGCCCAGCTCCCCACAGGGTGGAGAAATGGGAAAAAGGGGTTATAGCGCATACTGGCCCCATGGGGCACTTTCTCCCTCGCTCTGCTGATCCCTCCGAAAACTGAAAAGTATATATTGGGGGCCAGCAGCTGGCAGGGTGGTAGAGGCGCTGGACTCCCACATGGCCAACCACAGTTCAAGTCTCGGACCTGGCAGCTTGCTTTCTCGCTTTCTCTCTGTCTCTCTCCAGTGAGTGCACATGCCCTATAGCAAATTAAAAAAAATAATAAATAAAATGGAATAAATAGTTTTTAAAAATGCAGTAAGGACTGTAGTGAGAATAAAAAAGGAGAAGGACTCCTATGTAGTTGACTGTGGTCCAACTCCTGGACCTGGTGGCTTAAACTCACGCCAGGCACGTGTGCCCAAAATCCTGAGAGGAGAATGAAGGAGAAGGGATTGCAGCATGGCCATCCCCCCTGGGAGGTGATTTCTCGCTTTCTGTCTCTGTCTCTCTGTCTTTCTGGCTAGCGCATGTGCCCTATAGCAAAATAAACAAACAAACAAACAAACAAACAAACCATCAAACAAAATGTGGCTCACCCAGCCACTGGAATACTACTTAGCCATAGAAAGGAATGGGACTTTGGTACATGCTGCAATCGAGGTGACCCTGGAGACATTGTTTGCAGTGAAAGAAGCCTGCCACAGAAAACCAGAGAGCGTGGTCCACTGATGGGCCCTGTGCAGAACAGGTGAATCCATGGGGATGAGAAGGATTAGTGGTCGCTGGCAGTGCAACCTCCGCCCAGGAGCCCCCAGGGCTTGCAGGTCACTGTGCGGTGTCTTTACTGTTGAGCATCCTCCGGAGAGAACGAGCCACTCAACATGTGGTACGAGAGCACGGGGCATGGACGGCCCACGGGTGTGGAGACAGCACGGCTGATGGAGCCTTGCCCCAAGTCTCAGAGCTGATGATTTGCAGAACCGAGGCCGGACCACGCAGGCTGGCTCCAGGGTCTGTATTCTTTTCCTTCCAGTTTATTTATTGAGAGAGAGAGAGAGAGAGAGAGAGGCACTCCCATCAGGGTCTCGGCAATCCCCCCAGCCTCGGCCAGCCTGAGTCATGGGCATGTGTACACAGATCAGGACACGAGAGGCCCCAGGCCGTGAACCAGGGACCTTGCCGGGCAGGAGGTCTGGCCTTAGAGCCTGTATCTTAATCGTTATACACATGAACAAGTGACTCGTTGAACTAGGACGCATGCTCGCGTGGACAGAGTGCACGGCCGTCTCCACAGATGTGCGGGGAAGGGGGTAGCCTGTGGATTCACGTAGGCCTGGGCGGAGACCTCAGTCACGCCAGGATTCCCTGGGGCCATGGCATCCCTCTTCCCCTGGACCTCAGTCTGCTCATCTGACCAAGGGGGCCGGGAGACAGCGCAGTGTCTGCCTATTGTTTCCTCTAGGGACGTCCAACCAGGCAACCCAATGGGGCTGGGGGGCCGGGGGGCCTCGGACAGCCACGGAGTAAGGCAGGAAGGTCCCAGCTCACGTCCAGGGCTGCCTACGCGACACATACACATACCTGTGGTCCCTGAACCCCCTTCCTCAGGCCCTTCACCCTGGCTTCCTGTCTCCCTCCCCAGGCGGTCCCAGAGGGTTCTTTCTACACCCAGAATGTCCCTGCTCTCCTGCGCACAGCCCTCCCATGGCTCCCTTGGGCCCCAGGATAAAATCCTTCCAGGCCATCACGATGCGACCCAGAACCCTCTTGGAAGGCTCCAGAAATGGCAAAGCAGTCGCGGTTCCCCAGGGCCCGCCCTTCTTCCCTGCCTGCCTTTTCTCACACCCACCTGGCCTGGAATGTGGCTTCCTAACCCTTTGCAGGAAGAGTCCTTCATTCTTTAGAAGTCCTGACGCTCTGTCTGCTCTGGGAGGCCCTCCCCACCTCTCCAGGCTTGGGTAGTGCCTTTGCTCCCTGACAGCCCACGGGGACCTGCTGGGTGTGCGGTGAGGTCAGGAACTGTCACATCCCTGTGCCCCCAGCAGACAGAGGAATGCGGACAGGCCCTGCGAGGGCCCCTCAGCCCAGCACCGCCACGCATGCCCTCTCTGTCCAGTCACGTGTCCACACTGCTGCCCGCTCTCCATCCAGCCCACACGCACAGCCCTGCAAATCGCAGCGTCTCTGGGCCTCTGGGTCTTCGTTTCTGAAAGCTCTTCCGTCACGTCAAACTTCGTTCAATACATTCGTGCTTTCCTCTTACCAATCTGTCTTTTACCAAAAGCCTCTTAAAGTGTGTAAGAGAACGAGGACCAGCAGTTGGCGTAATGCCTATGTCACTGGACTCCCATGTAGTCGACTATGGTTCGAGTCCCGAACCCAGTGGCTTAAACTCACGCCAGGCGCGTGTGCGTGCATGCCCAAGATCCCGAGAGGAGAATGGAGGAGAAGGGGTTGCGGCGTGGCCATCCCCCCTGGGGGGTGATGTCTTGCTTTCTGTCTCTCTGTCTCTCTGTCTTTCTGGGGAGCACACGCACCCTATAGCAAAAACCTCAGGTATGGCACCTGCGTTTGTCTTGCCAGTGACAGCGCGCAGGCCCCGGGGGCACGTCACTCCGCAGTCCCTCCTCCGCCATCTCTGCATCCTGTCGGGGTTCAGGGCACGCATGCGCCCGGGCCTGGCCTGCGTGTGAGGCTGGTGGGGCTGAGACTCAAACCGTGTGGTCGGCCACACGGGATCTGGGTCCCTCAACCACGAGGCCTCAGGGCCGGCCCTGTACTGTACCCGTGTGACACCAGGGCAGCTGGGTGGAGCGAGTGTGGGCCCACTGCTGCTGAGAGTTGGAGACACGAGTGTGGGCCGTCACAGCAGGCAAGCCCAGGACCGGTGGTAGCCAGCCGGTGAGCGGTGAGCGTGAGGTTCGGAGCCGTCGGTGGGCGGGCCCTGGCATCAGAGCCGTGCAGGTCTACCCCAGGTGGGTTCTTCCTGTGCACCGAGACAGAGAGAGGGAAAGTGAGAAATCGCCCCCAGGGCGGATGGCCACACCGCAGTCCCGCCTCCTCTGTTTTATTTTGTGCGCGAGCACACACACACGTGCCTGGCGTGTTTCTCAAGCTGCTGGCTCTGAGACTGCGTGAACAGCCATGCGGGAAACAGCCGCCTTAGCAGAGTGCCCACTGGCCCACGCACGACGTCGTGAGCCATGTCCTGCGTGTGGGACGGCTAAGCAATCGCCGAGCGTGCCCTTGCGTGCTTGGCGTGCGTGCCGTGAGAGCACTGAAATCGAGCTCTTGGCCATTCGGGCGGCTGAGGTCTCGGGAGAACGAGGTGCCGAGGTGCCGAGGTGCCGAGGTGCCGGGCTTCCTGAGCTGCACCAGCTGGATGAGTGCGGGAGCAGCCCATTCCTTTGCCATACCGCTCCCTCCTCTCCCACGGGCTTCTCTCTTCCCTAAGCCTGCTCCAGCTCCCTGCTCCACCTGCTCCGATCCTTCCAGCAGGAGGTTCTGTTGTGATTCAAACTCCCCTGGGCGAAAACAGGAAGAGGGCAGGGCAGGCAATCCCAGGAGAGGAGGGCGGAAATCGGGAGAGGGCTGGCCACCTGGCAGGCCTTCCTGAATGAGGCTATTGTTGCTGGTCTCCCTCTCCAGCCCCGCCAGGTCATTATTTTCTGTTCTACTGGAAGGGTTTGGGCGGCTGCCTCCCACTCTCTGGGATCCCAGCTGTCACTCAGGCAGCGCTGGG